AAACGCAAAAGCTAGCTCTCTGACCGGTGTGGTGACAGTCTCACGCGACCGCCAAGGGAGAACCGTGGTACAAGGATAATAAGCTTGACTATGCACTCCCAGGCCGAAATTCATGACTGCGCATTTGTAAATGTTTGCAACGGCAAACAGATCTAGGGGCGCGTCAAAATAATGATTTTCGCCGCAAGGTCCACCTCCCCACCGGATACGCCGGAGAGCGCCATCCAAGTCATCCTGGTACACATGACGATAAACATTTCGGTTAGAGGCAATTTCGTTGTACATCAACTCACGCACCAAACCGTAGTTGTCTTCGCCCATTTGAAAAACATCAGCCACGACCCGGAATCCGCAGTTACCATCTCCGATTACATCATTCCACCCTTCCAAGTACGACATGATGATCGCAGGTATCCTTTCCTTGTACGGAAACTGATCAACATCGTTTCTTCCTATTCACCAAATAATTAATTATAGACAGTTAAGAAGACAGGAGTAACACTTTAAAACTATGTGCAATAAAAACAACCAAAACGTACCAGTTCTCAGGGGCATATTCACAGACGATGAAGATTGACTACGACTAGATGACGATGTCCGACCACGAGAACGACCACGACCAAGACCACGGATATACTCAAACGCACTCCTGTTCCGCCGTTGTCGACCTCGAGGACGGTCAACTCCTTCGGGTTCCTCATAATCTAAGTTAGACGGGTGGAACATGTCATGAAGCACATGAGTAGCGTCACGAATAATAGAAGGATGGCTGGAGGACACTCGGTCGTACATCGAACGGAACTGCTCCAACTCTTCCTGTTCACGGTCGACCGTTTGATTGTCTGCATGCTCACCAATAACAAGCGTCCTCCAGAATGAATGGACCTGATCAACATGTAACGACGCCCTTTCTTCTGTAATAACGCGATGAATGGTGCATGCGCAAGGTAATCCATGAGTTACTGAAATAGTACACCCACACCGAGTATACACTTCGTCAGCCAAGTCCCTCACCCTGTTCAGCTCAGTGAGAATCAACCCCAAGCAGTAGTGCGACACACGACCATGGAGAATCTTAAATATAAAATGGCTATACATCGTACCATGTCGTTGTCTGGAGTCCTCTAGAGAGTTCCTGATGTCGTTCTTCTGAGTTTCAATTGACTTGTTCAGTCTAGCGAACAGTGTATCCAAAGCAGCGGTCGATGAATCAATCCAGTCCTTGGTAGCTCTATGAGCGCTCTCAACTCTACATGTTGTAGTGTTCCCAAAATGAAGTACCTGGTTTGTCTAATATTTGACAAACTTTTCCCTGTGAGGGACCCATTGATGCATCACATAGTCCACCAGTGTCGGACACCACTGGTACGAATCCCTGAAGTTAGCCAATGCTCGCTCATACGCTTCCTCTGTGGTAGCCTGTAGGATCTTCCGCCACTTACCATTCACCAATCTCTCTGCCATTTCCAAATTCTTCTTGAAAAGGTTGTAGGCTTTCACTTTCACGCAGTTGTTGATGTGCCATGTGCACAATAAGTGGTTCGATTCGGGAAACAGCTCTGCTATGGGGGCAAAGAGACCTCCCTCACAGTCGCTGACGATGGCTGCTGGATGAACATTAGGCCCGATGTAGTTTCTCAGCTTCTCCAAAACCCAATAATAACTTGGAGCCGTCTCATCCCTGATGATTGCATGACCAATCAGAAAGTTCTGGTTCGTTGGAGCCATCCCAACCATCTCAACCAGAGGGAACTTGTACTTGTTTGTCTTGTACGTTGAGTCGATCAAAATCACAAATGGCCAAGACTTGATCATATCAGCACAATCAGGATGCACAAGGAAAAGATGAGTCACCTCCGCTGTATCTTCATCAGAATCAAACCAGAACAGGTAACCACGTGATTGTGCCTGGTGTAGCAGCTACTGTATAGGGTTCCTTCCCTCTGACCGTTCAAACCTGAGTTGCTGTCTGACGTTGTAGATGTGTCTTCGGTTTGGATGGTCTTCTGGAAATTTCTCTAACACAGATGCTAATATTTTAGCAGGCTTCACTTGAGCATCACTCATTTCTTTCACAACTAGTTTCGCAGCAGGACTTAAGCCGCTCAGTTGTCGATGACCCTCTTCATATACTATCATCTCATGGTTGTGATACCCCCATTTAGAGTAACCTATCACTTCCCAACCGTCACGACTCCGTAGTTGTCGAACCTTTACTCTGAACTCACACCCACAACCTTTCCGCTTTGTGTCAAACCGAGTGGCTGTACGAAAATCTCTTTCTTCTCTTTTGCGATAACGGTCACATCTCAAAATGCGATCCATTCTACCATCCCGTTGAGATTTATGAGTTGCTACTACCAAGCAAAATCCAGCTGCAATTGCAACCTGTTTTGCCCAATCAATCGCTTGTTGAGCTTCTTCGAATGGACCATCATGTCCAAATATCTCATTGTAATCATTTCCGTCTCCACCATATTCCTGCATCAATTATATATTACAATAAATATATTTAACGGATAATACATTTAATTTCTATATTTCCACATAATTAACACAAAAAAAAAACATAATTATATATAATCAAACTTAATTTTTATAAAAACCCAATTCGAATTTTCAAACTAAATTTAAAAATATACCATTTCGAATTTTCAAATTTAATTTTAAAAAAACCTATTTCGAATTTTCAAATTTAATTTACAAAAAAACCCATTTCGAATTTTTTTAAAAAATCATTTTCGATTAGTTTTTTCACAAAAAAATTAAATAAAAAACAACAACAAAATCAAAAAGGAAAAAATAAAAATTAATTATTAAAGGTGGCGTCTGCCAGGGCTGCCACAGCCACTGGACTGGCGCCTGGCAGGGCCGCCTCACCCAGTGGAGTGGCGTCTGCCCAGGACGCCAGTCTGGTGGTCTGGGCGTCTGGGCTGGACGCCACTCTGGTGGTCTGGGCGTCTAGCCTGGACGCCACTCTGGTGGTTCTGGCGTCCGGCTTGGACGTCCAGGCTACGGTTTGGGCGTCCACCCTAGGCGCCGGAGCCACTTCGACGGTAAACCGTGAATTTTAACGGTGACTTACCTCGTTTTCCGTCGACGACGACGTACCTCCGGCGTCCCCCGCATCTCCGGCCTGCCATCCGGTCTCCCCCGGCGAGCCAGTACGGCTCCACATTTTTTACACCGAGATTATTTCAATTTTAGCAAAAGGGCATAATGGTCAAATCATAACATATTTGTGGGCTTTATATGGTAAATTGCGGGCGATGTTTAGCGTTTCACCAATTTAGATGTCCAATAACACAAAATTAAAGTACAATTATTTCAACCAAAAATCCAGATAATTAACAGTAGAATTGAAATTAAAATTTGTCTACCTTGGACAGCAAATCGCAAAAAGGCTCAACAAAAATCGCAAAAAAATGTTAGCAAAAATAAGCGAAATTGCAAATTGCTCAAACTGTAAATAGAAAAACCCTAATTTTGAATTCAAATAAATTGAAACACAAAAACACAAACTGTAATTGAAAATTGACAATTTGCATCAAAGTTCAGGTAATACTTCATATTCGAGTAAGTAGTTCAGCGTTTGATGAAAATCATTGAAGAACTAGATATAGAAAACGAAGAATCGACAAATAGGAAGCAACACTCAGCAACAAAACTACAAATGCGGAAACATATAAATGCAAATACCTTAATATTTCAACTGAAATCACAATAACTCAAACAAATGATTAGAAAAACCCTAATTTCGCAATCGAACTCCCAAAAAATGGATTCAAAATCAAATTAATATAGAAAAACAAGATATTTACCTCAATGAATAACTAAAATCGAAGAATATGAAGAAATAGAAGATCGAAATTGAAGAGTTTGAAGAATCAATGAGCGCAAGCGAAGAATTGAAATCGCGAAATCTTACCTTTCAGAGAATTCGAAGATAGAGAGAGAAAATGTGGAAGAAGAAAGAGAGAGAAAATTAAGAGCACAAGAATTAGAAAGGAGGTCATTCAACAGCTGAAATTACAAAAATACCCGTAATGAGGCGGGTTATACGTGAGCCGTTTGATTGAGAGCGATCAATGATCACGATGAGTTCTTAGTTCTTATTATAGACATTGGTTCTCACATGATCTCAAATATATATATATATATATATATATATATATATATATATATATATATATATATATATATATATATATATATATATATATATATATATATATATAGCTGTCAATTCGGGTAAACGGGTTGGGTTTGAGTCGGGTTAGTGTGATTCGGGTCATCTCGGGTCGGGTCAATACGGGTTAATGTCATAACATATGCGGGTCGGGTTCGGGTTGGGTCATGCTTGAGTCGGATCACGTCGGGTCATACATCCTATCGGGTTTGGGTCGGGTTAATAAAAAGTCGGGTTACATTCGGGTTGGGTGGAAAATAGGTCGGGTTAAATTCGGGTCTTTACGGGTTTAAACGAGTTAGGGTCATTCTCGGGTTCGAGTTGTGTTCAGTTCAAGTCAATTATTTACAGGTTATAATCAGGTCGTGTCACTCTCAGGCTCAAGTCGGGTTCGATTCAAGTCAATAATTTGCGGGTTATAATCAAGTCGGGTCAATTCGAAGTCGGGTTATTCTTGGGTTCGAGTCGGGTTCGGTTCAAGTCAATAATTGCGAAAAACATGTTTCGTCCTTGAAATTCGTCCCTAATAACATGTTGTGAAACTAACCTCTTAAAATTCAAAGTGAAATATTGAAGGAATAGAGTTAGGATTCAATTTCCGTTCCAATACCAACACGAGAAAACAACCAATACATATTGATTCAATAACAAGTCGGGTTGAATTTGGGTCAGGTCAATAACAAGTCGGGTTGATTCGGGTCGGGTTTGTAACAGGTCGGGTTAAAATTCGAGTCGGGTTTGTAGCAGGTCGGGTTAAATTCGGGTCGAGTTAGTAATAGATCGGGTTGAATTCGGGTCGGGTTAGGAACATGTCAGGTTGAATTCGGGTTTTGACAGGTTAAAACAGGTTGGGGTCAATTTTGGTTCAAATCGGGTTCGGTTCAGGTCAATAATTTACGGGTTACATTCGAATCGGGTCCTCTCTAGGTCGGTTAATGTTCAAGTTCGGGTCTCAAATACTCGGGTCAACTCGGGTCTCAAATACTCGGATCAACTAGGGTCTAGGGTTGGTTTCAAATCGGGTTAGATTGGGTTCGGGTCACTATTTTTTTCGGGCTCAAACGGGTCGGTTAATAGGTCGGGTTTGGGTCGGTATTTTGGATCGAGTCAGCTTTTGACAGCTCTATATATATATACACCGTCAACAATGAAACATACGTGTTGTTCTAAGACCATCCAATAATATATTAATCGAGAACTCATAAATTAAAATAAAAATAAAAAATAAAAAAAAATCTCAAGATTAGTATCACCGCGGAAGGTTTAGGAAGGCAAACCAGTGGCTACTATATTTGAGGGATATGCCTTTTTACTCCCTTCTCTCCACAAATTTAGCGATGATTTTGCTCATTTATTCCGCTTCTTTCACGTGCTCTTCAAGGATTCCAATCTTCTATTTTACTTTTTTTTTTTTTATTTTTTTTTATTTATTTATTTATCTATTTTATTTATTAATAAATTTTTTAGCGATTTTCATGTTATACCGTCGGACTTTTTTCAACATTTTCCTTTTTATTTTTCCTCCTAGCTGTATCATACCTGTCCTTTCTCTCTCTACTTTCTCTCAAAAACACATTGTGAGAAATCCAGATTTTAGAGAGAAAACAAACAAAGATAAAACAAAAAAAACAAGGGAGATTTTCCTTGTGCATTTTAGCAGATTCTCAGCCAAAAGGAAAAGGGGAGAAAAACTTATTAATGAGCTGAAAAAGAATGTATATATTTTGTAACATTTATATATAAATACTCTCCCCTTAATTCCTAGTTTGTGCTGTGGTTTTTTTTTTTAAAAAAAAAAAAAAAAAAAAAAAATTGAGGTTGTAGTGTTAGTATACCTATACACATTGTTCTTTTTTAACATCTGTTGCGATAAAGTTGTGTATTTTTGAACCTTATTGGTCGTCAACCAGATAGGCAAATTAAACATCCCTTGAGTGGGAGGAACGAAGGATATATAGAAATGGCACAATTACCTCCAAAAGTTCCTAACATTATACCCCAGAATTCGAATCATCACCGTCATCAACAACCACAACAACAATGGCAAGAATTCATGCGCCCTCAGCAGCAGCAGCAGGAGGTGGGGCAGAACCCACCGTGGGTGGACGAGTTCATGCAGTTCTCGGCAGTGAAGCGAGGAACACACCGGAGGACGGTGAGCGAATCGTCTGTGGCATTTGTCGAGGCTGGGGCAGTACCATTCTTAAACGGCCCGTTCCGTCCACCAGAAACATTATCGGGGAGGAGTAAAACCAACAATCATGAGGAGTTTGATAAGTTCGACGATGATCAATTTATGTCTATGTTTAGTAATGAGTTAGGAGGGTCGTCTTCGAATCCGTCATCGACTTCGGATCATAACAGCACGAATGAGGATCAAAAGAGAGGGATAACGAGAAGAGGGGAGCAGGAATTAGGAGGTAGAGCGAGGGTGGAAGACGGCGAAAAGGCAGAAGAGGTAGAGAGTTTGCGTAAATTTGATAAGGAAGAAGCACAAGTTGGTGGTAATAAAAAGGGTGGCAATGTAGCTGCTGCTGCTGCTGCAGGTGGTTGTAATGATACAGGTGTTGTTGATGCTGACCAGCAACCTGTGGTTGATCCAAAGAGGGTTAAGAGGTAAATGAAAAACTATACTCCGTATAAATGTTTCATGATTTTTCAAAGGTGAAATGATAACAATATTTACAGAGATAAATATAAATATTGGCATTTTAACGTTTTTCATTCTAAATTGTTTGACATAATTTGATTTTTAGCACTATTTATACACGAAATACTGTTTTTTTTTTTTTTTTTTACTAGTTTTTGTATTTTATAGACTTGATTAAAGACAATCATGAGCAATCTTGTTAAAATGCTTTTATCATAATTTTTTCAAAATACCAATAACAATGTTTTTTTTTTTCTTTTTTTTGAAACAATCAATAACAATGTTTGGTTATTCATAATTAGAGATATTTTCAATTCAATTTATAAATTAATAGATGTATAAATAAAACGTATGTATGTATCAACTAATTTGAAACAAATGCATTAGAATGCCTTTTAAGTTAAAGTTGCAATTTAAGTGAGGATTTAAACAATTAATAATAAAGTAGTTGTTTTTATTAAAGGTATTATACTTAAAAAAAAAGAAATGGAGGGAGTATTATTTTACAAATTCTCTACAAGATTTTTTTAATATATTCTGTATGTTGCATATATTAATTTTTTAGTATAATCCAGAAAAAAAAAATGTACAAAGTCAATTTCCTGACCTTTTTAATAAGAGGGAAAACAAATTTTCAAAATGTAACTGTAGCAAATTAACAAATTTGTATATCCTTTTACTAACGGACACTTTCTTGTGTGAAAAAACACAGAATATTGGCAAATCGACAATCAGCGCAAAGATCAAGGGTAAGGAAGCTGCAGTATATATCAGACCTTGAGCGCAGCGTTACTACTTTACAGGTTTGTACCTCTTATCACTTCTAACATCCTTGCTACACCTTTAGTGTGCCGTGTGCGTGACACTTTAAATCAGGGTGCGCCCCTTGACTGCCGTCTGAGCTACCACATACATATGCCTTGCATTCCTAGCATGTTTGAAGTCGGGGCTTGCCCCTTGACTGCTGTCTGAGCTATCACATACAACACTGGCCTTGAAATCCTAGAATGTCATTATCTAGCAATTAAGTATTTATCACTAATATGAACGTCTTTCTTTTGTTGGACTTTTACTTCATCGCAAAAGAGTGAGGTATCAGCATTGTCCCCAAGGGTTGCATTCCTGGATCACCAACGCATGATTCTAAATGTGGACAACAGCACTCTCAAAGCTAAAATTGCAGCACTTGCCCAAGATAAAATCTTCAAAGATGGTAAGTTTAATATTACCAATGTATCATAAGTTCCGACACACTTCTCTTCCTAACTTAACCTTGTTACCAAATTGCTTCAATGAATGGCAGCTCACCAGGAAGCAATGAAAAGAGAAATAGAGAGGCTGAGGCAAGTATATTACCAGCAGAACCTAAACAAGACGGAAAACATTGTTCCACCGCCTACATCCTCATCTTTGCTACCAACAACCGCTCAGCCCCAACCACCCGACACCACAGTTCATAAGAATGAGCAGCTTACAAGTTAAAAAAAGAATGTATTTTTCCAGTATACTGTACTATACCTCAATGATGAGAGACTTCATGTCAGAAATTCTTTGTACAGAACAATGTAAAAATGTTCCTCTGGTTTCTCTTTGTAACATAGATATGATTCTCACATGCAGATGAAAATGCTGATTCCAATGCAGTGTAACATAACAGATTAACAGCATACATTATAGTAAGCAGGGTAATTTATACATACAGCTTATTAGGAGTAAAAGTTTAAATTAAGCTACCACTCCATAGTTGATTACTAGCTTCAATTACTGAGAAGATTAGACCAAAAGCTAGTTAAAATTTAATCACCAAGGATATAAGGAAGTACAACTGAACATGTTATAGGATACATGCCTAGAAAGCAAGGTTATAAATATTCTCCGCAAAACAGAGCTCCGAGGCCTCCAACACAACACACACTGTGAATCTCAGTTACTCCCAAAAGTCCCATAAGAGTAGGATTGATCATATACAAAGGACAGAATAAAATGTCAAATTTCAAGTTACTCTGCTTTTCTATTTTCAAGGAAATCCAAAACTCAGATTGGCAAATCCATCAACTAATACCAATACAGATATATCAACAATGAAATGAGGTACCAACTAAATTCAAACTGGGTAAAAATGTACAAAACAACTACTTTAAGGGCTTATTCACGTTTACTGAACTGAACTGAGCTGAACTGAACTGAAATGATTGGAGCTTAACTGAACTAAACTAAGCTGAAATGAATATTTTATGAAAGAGGGAAATTAGGAGCTGAAGTGAACTGATTGAAGCTGAACTGAACTGAAAATAAGTAAATGTGAATAGGCCCTAAAGCATTTCTCATTCACCAGTTTAGCTTAACATGACAAAAAAAATTACTCAATAGTCAATACTTTCTCACAAAACTCTTTATAAATGGCAAAGCAAATAAAATGCACAAAAAAATGACCATTCCAAACATATGCATCCAAAAACCAAACCATTAGAAATATAGTACTCGTCGCTCTTCAATCAATCGACAAACCAAGTAGGCAAAGCAGTAATATGGGACTCTGTCGCAAACAATAATTTGTATTTGACATACACTATACATAGATAAATGACAAAATCTCAACATAAACAAACTTTTCGAAAAGTTTAGAGCAGAAGAAAACATCTCAGACAGAATTAAGAAGGAAAATAATTGAAATCACAGAGGATTTTCCTTCGAGTCTCCCCTAAAATGTAAAATTGGAAAGGGAAGTAACGGCTACGTCAGCAAAAATAATCAGACAAAATCCCTTCTAATTTCGCTGATGGAAAGATGTAAAGACCCATTTATGCAGATGGCAAGGCACCAAGATGGCGATTAGACAGTGTCATAGGTACAGGTTGTAAGCAAAATGAATTTTTAGGCGATAGTCTAAATTTTTTCCAATAAGTCAATTTAAAAGTAAAATTCTCCTACAAAAATGAAATCAGAACGATACAAGTAGTGACCTGGTGATATAGTGAATTTTAAGACATTCAGAAGGAAAACTTTGGATACAGGAAGATAAAAGAAGGGCTCATATAGAACTTTTCAATCACAAGTTTCAAGGTTCGTTCTCAAGATAATGCCAAAAGTTGTAATGTTCAACAGAAATGGAAACAAGGATATCACAAGGATCATTGATTATGAGGGGGCAGGGGGGAGATGAGGGATAATTCCAGTAGTAATACACACTAGCATTTACTTAGCATAGATATTAATCATATGGAAAGCCTGAGTTGCACACGTAGATACGACAAAAGGTAGATCTGTTGAAACAGCCATTAGTACTAGGCATTTACATATTCCTAAACACTGGCGATTTTCATACTAGATAAACAAAGACACTTGATAAAGATAAAGCACCTTTTCTACATCACCTAACAAACCTTCCATCATTCTGAAGGACCTTGCAGTTCAGTGACTTCAGTCTGAATATTTGCTGACATCGCTCGCTTCCTAAACCGATCTTTCAGTAGTTCCATTTCCTTTGCAGCATCCATAAGCCTGCTGTCATGAGACTGAAACTTTGCCAAAACCTCACTGTCCCACTTCACTTCGAGATCTTTTAAATTTTTCCAATAAGTTTCCTCAATTATTTTGCACATCACCTTGTTTTCTTCATCTTGCTTCAATTTCTCTCTCTCCAATTCCATGACACTTTTGACAACACCACCAAAACCAGCATCTTTATAGATTGGTTCATCAGGTACTTGGCAACGCTTCCGGTAATCAGCAAATGCCTTTTGTGTTTGTTTTAAAGCCCTGCGATAACCATCTATCACACTGTTCATCAGATAAAGCTCCCTATCACGACGATTGACTTCTGCCTGTTTGCTCCTCTCTAGATCACCAAGCTTGTAATTCAACTGCATAATCTCACAGTCCTTTGCAGATAATTGCTGCTCCATATAGTGCTGTTGAGCCATACTTGCTTGTTGATCTTCATTTTTCTCCGTTGCACGACATATTTTAGCTTTCTCAATCCAATATTGTAACTGATCTACACAATAGTTAAATTCAGGAGGTTTATCTTCCCAATTGCCATCAAGTCTCATCCTCTTATTATTACCATTTAGCGCATGGTGAGAAATGTCATGATCATTGTCCATCTCCCTCTTACCAATATGATTAAACATGGAAGGGGCACCCATCATCACATCATTATCAGAAGTGGATGCCAAGAGCTCTAAAGAAGACTGACCCCCAAGTTCAGTTGAATAAGGCAGTTGCCCTGTTTGAAATGCTTGTATGAGATTTGTTGAAGTCATACCATTCAATGGACTTTTTGGCATGATATTGAACCCTTCAACATGTCCATCCCCATCAACTTCATCGTCTTCTACATCTTCAGAAACATCCTCAAATCCTCTAACTTCCGAGACATTTGCCCCGGCCATACTACAACGTTGCAAAAAGTGCTGGCCTCCAATTTTATTATCTAAAAACCACTGCCCCTGACCTTGTTCTTCTCCCATGTCATCCTCAAATCCCATCATGTCCTCACCCTTATTCCCCTCCCTGGAATTGTCCTCACCCTTATTCCCCTCCCTGGAATTCTCAACATTGTCAATGTGATCAACATCTTCAACATGATCAAAATTTTCAACATGATCAACATTCTCAATGTTATTAACATGTTCAGCATTCTCAGTACTTTCCACCTTGTTACCCTCATCGACACCTCTGGAAATCCCGATATTATCCTCTTCTTTTTCTTTTTCAAAATCCTCAACCTTCTCCATCTCACCAGCAAGACACTCATTATCCTCCTTTATTTCACCAGCATCACCAGCACATTCCACAGAAGCAGCACAATCTTGGCCAAGCCTCAATTCAGTATTTTGGTCCTCCAACTTCTGTCCTACACTAGCTGACTCCTCATAGTCCGTCATCTTCACATCACCGCCATCTTCATCATCATCCACGGTAACAGCCTCCTCCAAATTTTCACCTTCCACCTTAAGTTTCTCCACTTCCATGTTAGGAGACTCCCTAAACAGCTCCTCCTTCTGCGCCTTGATCATTTGCTGCAAATGTGACGCATAATAACACTCCTTCAAGCTGGTTCGTTGTGCCAACTCCTTTTCCACCATAAACCACATCAGCCCAGCCCAATCAACCTTCTGAGGAGTCCCATCCCTTATCAATTTTGTCCACCCCACAATCTCCTTTGGCATACACCACAAATCCTCATCCTCATGTAAAATCATCCAATTCGCCACAAACTCATCCAAAAACGACAGAAATTCCACCGGAAAACTTTCCCCTTCGCAATCCAGCTTCTTCGGTAACTTCAATGCCCGCCCCAAATCAGCCCTACTAACCCCAATCCTAGATTCATCAACATAACTACATCGATTTTTCGGGTTATAACTCACAATTAACTTCCCAATCAAATCAACCCTAATATTCCTATCAAATTCAATATGAGCAAAATCCCACAACTCCAACTTCTTCAAAAACTCCTCATACCTCGAAAAGTCAAGAACTTTAAGAGGAACAAAAGGAATAGGCTTAAAACCTTGAGACAATTGCAGCATTTTCCTCTCCAAAGCAATCTTACTAACATGATTATTCTTATTCCCCTTCTTCCGTTTCGATGTACGACGAACAGAAGCAGATGGGTTATTACTACCCTTAAATTCTTGCGCAATAAATTGTATTTCAGACGACATTGAGGGATGATGAGGAGAAACAGAGACATTCATACCTTCTGATTGATCATTCTCGGGTTCCGGTTCCGGTTCCGGTTCATGATCATCTTGATCTTCATCGGCAACATGGGGTTCTTCAGATTCTTCTTGAGGTTGATTAAATGGGTTTTCTGGAAGTGGGTTTTGAGTTTTAGGGGTTGAAGGTTTGGAATTCTGAGATGGGTCCTCAGATTCAGGGTTAGGGTTAGGGTTTTGGGATTCTGAATCTTGCGATTCTTTTGGTAGTGGTTGTGATGGTGGTTCAGGTGGTGATGATGGTGGTTCAGGTGGCGGTGAATCGGGCATTTTGAATTGTGATTTATGCAGATTGAGAGAGAGAGACTATGGAAGACTTCTATTGTAAAGCGAGTAGAGAATAGAAGAAGATGAAAACAGTCAAGTGAACGTTTTGACTTCGCATTGAGAATTTTAAGAGGGGCAATGCTCCTAAACAAGAAGAATAGAAAACGCTAAAACAGAAACGAAATTTTGACATTTGTTACCATGAAAAACACCTATATTCACTTTGCTACCGTTTAAAGTTTTTATTTTTAACTTTGCTACCACCTAATCAGAGTTTGTTAAAATTCACTACCTAATTTCTTACACCGTTACTATTTCCGTTAGTGGCGCCTAACCACCGTTGAACAAGGGTTGAGACTAGGTCGTTGGACTAATCTTCTCTAGGCCAAACAAAATTTCAAATTTGTAATCACTCAACACACCCTTATAACTAGCATAGGCGTAAGTCGAGGGTCGAACCACTAGGAATGAGAGGTGAATGTTAATGCTAAAGCTAAACTATTTCGAAGAAGTGAAGTAAGGTGTGTGTACTCTAAACAACTAAGGAAACTAAAACCAAATATATCAAACACTAGGGTTTAGGATCCACATATACATGCAGTGGATATAACTAATTAGAATTGGAATTGACTAAGGACATGTTCTCTTAAGTTGAAATTCAGTTCAGTTCAGTTCAGCTCATTTCAGTTCAGTTCAGTTCAGTTCAGTTCAGTTCAGTTTAGCTGAGTTCAGTCAATGAGAACAGACCCTAAGTCGAGTGTTGCGAGGGAAAGTCAATTGAGCAATCAAGAGAATATGATAGGCTATTCTCCTAGGGGTCAAACTAGCGCCAACTACGAGAGACTCTAGCTAGGAACTTCACAAACCAACTCAATCGACAAATGCAAGCCACAAATCAATTGTCCATATCAATGTGAACTTACAATGCAATCTAGTGCTACGATCAAAGTTAGCTACTCT